TTGACTTGGTGTTGTCAGCACCACGCTCAGCCAGTGAGCGGCCGGTCTGTATGTGGGATCCGAACCCTCGGCGGGAGCGCCACCTCACTTCCCAAGCGGCGTACTGTAGCAGTGCGCCACCGGGCTGGCCCTGACATAACTAACCTTTTTTTTTTTTTTAAAAGATGACCGGTAAGGGGATCTTAACCCTTGACTTGGTGTTGTCAGCACCACGCTCAGCCAGTGAGCGAACCGGCCATCCCTATATGGGATCCGAACCCGCGGCCTTGGTGTTATCAGCACCGCACTCTCCCGAGTGAGCCATGGGCCGGCCCTAAATTTTGATATTTTAAGCTCTGATCCAGTTTTGTTTTTTTTATTCAAATTTATGGACATTTGACATAACTAACCTTTTTTTTTTTTTTTCCTTTTTTTTTTTTGTCTTTCTTCGTGCCCGGCAACGGATCGCAACCCTAAGTGTCGCGCCCGTACCGGACCGGGACCGGCTATGGGATCGCAACCCTCGGTGTTGCTCCCGCACCTCGCTCAGCCAGTGAGCGGCCGGTCTGTATGTGGGATCCGAACCCTCGGCGGGAGCGCCACCGCACTTCCCAAGCGGCGTACTGTAGCAGTGCGCCACCGGGCTGGCCCTGACATAACTAACCTTTATGATAACTTCCTTTCATTATTCTTTATCTGTAGAGCCCTACCTGTCTCTTAGGACTGTAAAAATTGCAGGAGTTGTTTATCCTGCAAATTTGGAGGGCTTGATGAAATATACAAATGATTGAATATATAGATGGAGTTCATTTATTTGTTAATTCAACAAATAGTTATTGAGTGGCTACAACATGCCGACTACCATGTTAGGTGCTGTAGACATTAGTGAACCAGACTTAGTCCCTGATGTGAGGGAGATGTACGAGGGTACTTCCAAAAGATTGTGGAAAAATAGAATTGAAAGATAATAGGAATTTTTCCATGAACTTTTGGAAGTACTGTCGTACATGTAAACAGTTAATTACAATTCAGAGTGAAAAGTGTTAGGGAAAGTCCTAAGCACAGCAATTTGTCCAAGATATAGACCAAGAAACTTTAGTAACAAGGATATAACTATCTAATTCAATGAAGAACTTTGGAGCAAACTTCTAGAGATTACTAAAGCTCCATAAAACATATCATTTGCTTATTAGAGTCTTCTACAGGGTCGTGATGAAAAGCAAAAGGGTATGAATAAACACCATCTTAGATAGATGGGGGAACTGATTATTTAATATTTATTCAATGACAATACATAATAAGTACAGTACTGTGACTCAGACTAAGAGCTTGTCTGATTTTTGAGGTAATACTTTTCTATCCGTAAGGTCACGAGTTACTACAAATATTTGCCTTGTTGCTTGGGGCTGGTTAATCAGTTGGTCACAAATTTTGCACATTAGTTATGTCCCAGGCACTTGGAATACAGTGGTGAACAAGCAAATAGTGTCCCTTTCTTCAGGGTTATTGTTAGAGGGGATGACATATGTTATACAAAACATCACCAGTGGAATGAATGTAAGCTCCATGAGGGCAGGGACTTGTCTTTTTGTTTTGTTCACTGCTTTGTCCCAAAAACCTAGAACAGCTAACATATATGGTAGTAGGTTTCTCTGTAAAGATTTATTAAACTTATAATTCTTAATTAAATAAGTACTGTGAAAGAATATACTGTATAATATACATTTAGCGTATTCTGTAAGGGTAGAGGAAAGGTTCCCTGAGTTAGTGATGTTTAAACTGAAACCTGAAAAGTGAATGGAGTAAAACTGGCAAAAAGAAAGAAGAATATGTTCCCATACTGTGTACTTCCCCTGCACTCACCACGCTTTAATTGGAATTGATGACTACATTTTCTAGCTTTATTGTATGTTTTGAAAGGTTAGGGACCAAGTCCATTTGTCAACAGAATCCTTGAATCCCTAGTATTTAGCACATAGTATTTCCCAATCAATTACGTAATTTTTGAGAAGGAAATTCAAATATGTAGCATCTGCCAGTTGTAGAATCACAGCCTTGTAGGAAAGGCAATTCTGTTTAATACCATATGCACAAGAATCTGATGAAAAATATTTACCTGTCATAAATCTTGGCAATTCTCAGTTCTCCTCTTCCCTTTCTCAAGCTTATTCTTGTTGTTGAAGCATGTGCCAGAATGTGTCCCCCGATGGGTTTTTTGGGGTCTGCCTGAAACCTGCATTAATAAACACCTTTTCAGGTTTCATCATATGGACTATGTACAGCAATATCTGCATTTACAAGGCAACCTTTCTGTGGAGGATGGCAGGGGATAAAGTAGGCATGTACTCTTAACAAGCAGAGGCTTGTTCATAAACTGTGGAGTAGGGTGGGGTTTGGAGCTGTGATATATAATGGAATGTCTCTGATGTTCCAGGTCACACTGTACCTTAAGGGTGGTTCTTTAAGTCTTAAAAGAATTCTATGTTCTATACAGATGGATTGCTTGAGGCCCTGATGATATTCTCAACTGGGCTGTGACCTCTGAACCCACAAACACTGTATTTATGCTCTAATGCACTTTTCATTTTCTGCCTTATTACTATTATTTATTCACTTATTATATTTTTCCTCAATCCTTCTCCTATTCCTTATCACTAAACTCCATGAGGGCTGACTACGATGTATTTAGCTCTGTAGCAACCAGCTACACAGTGGGTGCTCAAGAATGTTTTTTGAGCTTAAGATATGGAAGCTAGAGAAAGATTTCTTCAGGCGGGAGCAAGATGGCGACGGGTCTGGAGTGAGCGTGCCAGAGGACAGAGAGAGCCTGTGAAGTGTGCGCTGTGCTGCCAGAGTACTATTTGCATTTCCAAGAGCAACAAATAAATCACTGATCAACTAATCTACAACGAAAAAAAGCAACTACAGTCTCGAGGTTTTAGGGCCGATGCAAAAGAAGATTCCTGAGAG